GACACCAAAGCATAAGCAACAAAAGAAAAATTACATAAATCGGATTTCCTCAAAATCAAAAACTTTTTGTGCATCAAAGGACACTATTAAGAAACTGAAAAGAGGGCGCCTGGGTGGCTCAGTGGGTTAAGCCTCTGCCTTTGGCACAGGTCATGATCTCAGGGTCCTGGGATCGAGTCCCACATCGGGCTCTCTGCTCTGCGGGGAGCCTGCTTCCTCCTCTCTCTCTCTTTCTGCCTGCCTCTCTGCCTACTTGTGATCTCTGTCTGTCAAATAAATAAATTTAAAAAAAAAAGAAAGAACTGAAAAGATGGGCATCTGGGTGGCTCAGTTGGTTAAGCAACTGCCTTCAGCTGGGGTCATGGTCATGGGGTCCCAGGATAAAGTCCCACATAGGGCTCCCAGCTCCAAGGAGCTGGGAGCCTACTTCTCCCTTTGACCTTCTCCCCTCTCATGCTCTCTCTCTCTCTCACTCTCTCTCAAATAAATAAATAAAATCTTAAAAAAAAACCTGAAAAGACAACCGACACAATGAGATAAAATATTTACAAATCATGTAATCTGGTAAGATGTTAGTTTCTAGAATACTTAAAGAACCCTTACAACTCAGCAATGAAAAGATAAACTACCAAATTAAAAATAGGCAAATGATTAGATTTTTTCCCCAAGAATATGTCCAAATGGCCAACAAGCATGAAAAGATACTCAGTATCTTTAGTTCTTAGGGAAATGCAAATCAAAACCACAAGATAATACCTCATACGCATTAGAATGGTTGTAAAAAAAAAATGGAAGGGCTGGCTCATTTGCAGGAATGTGCAACTCTTGATCTTGGGGTTTGAGCCACATGTTGGGTTTAGAGATTACTTAAAAAAATGGAATAAAATAAGTGTTGGTGAGGATGCAAAGAGACTGGAACACTCACACATTACTAATGGGAATGTAAAATGATGCAGTTGCTGTATGTGGCAGTTCTTCAAAAAATTAAACAGAGAATTACCCTATGATCCAGGAGTTCTACTAATATGTATATACCCGAAAGAACTGAAAATGGGTATTCAGGGGCATGTGGGTGGCTCAGTCGGTTAAGAATCTGCCTCAAGCTCAGGTCATTATCCCAGAGTCCTCCGACAGAGCCCCGAGGCAGGCTCCCTGCTCAGCAGGGAGTCTGCTTCTCCCTCTCCCTCTCCCTCCTGCTCCCTACTGGTGCTCTGTCAAATAAATAAAATATTTTTAAAAAATGGGTATTCAGGGGCGCCTGGGTGGCTCAGTGGGTTAAGCCTCTGCCTTCGGCTCGGGTCATGATCTCAGGGTCCTGGGATCGAGCCCCGCATCGGGCTCTCTGCTCAGCAGGGAGCCTGCTTCCTCCTCTCTCTCTGCCTGTCTCTCTGACTACTTGTGATCTCTGTCAAATAAATAAATAAAATATTTAAAAAAATTAAAATAAAATAAAAAATGGGTATTCAGACAAATAATTGTACATAAATGTAAATGGAAGCACTATTCAAAACAGCCAAAAGATAGAAATAACCGAAATTTCCATCAACTGAGAAATGGATCAACAAAATGTGGCATATTCACATAAGGGAATATCATTCAATTCAAAAAAGGAATGAAGTACTAATGGTTGTTACAAAGTGGATGAACCTGGAAAACATGGTGCTAAGTGAGAGAAGACAGACACCAAAGGCCACATGTTGTATGATTCCATAAATATTAAAAATCCGGAAGAGGCAAACCCATAGAGACAGAAAGCACATTAGCGGTTGCCAAGGGAGGGATGGGGAGTGACTGCTAAATGAATGAGGGGTTTCATTTTGAGTGATAAATATGCTTTGAAAGTAGAGGGTGGTGATCGTGGAGAACATTATGAATGTATTACATGTCACTGAATTGTATACATTAAAATGGATAATTTTATGATGTTTGAATTTTACCACAATTGAAAAAAATGATATAAGGGAAAAACAATCAGTATGGAAAGACTGTGATAAAGGGCACAAGTGCAGTAAGAATCGGGACAACACATCAGTTTGAGTGTCCTAAGACTCTTATAGGTACTGTGTTCCCCCAATCCAATCCCACTCCCACTAAATCTAGATTGTTTCAGTTTGGGTACATATTGATGAAGTTGGCAATAACAGAATAAATATCGAGACGAAAAGCCTTAGGGTATAAAGGAGCTACATCTAAAAACTGATAATTAATCCTTTTATACTTTTCATTTTTCCTAAAATTTGTTTCAAATTTTGAATTGTGGAAGGCTTGTAGATATTTTTTTTCCCTGTAGAAAATTAAGATCTAATATCCAGATTTCAAGATCAGGTAGAGCCTAAAACCATATATTACTTTGGCCTTAAGCTTTTTATACCAAAATTAATGCAGATGATGTAAGTGAGGCTTTTAAAGATTTTTTTTTGTATTTGACAAAGAGAGAGATGGCAAGTAGGCAGAGAAGTAGGCAGAGAGAGAGAGAGAGAGAGAGGAAAGCAGGCTCCCCGCTGAGCAGAGAGCCGGATGTGGGACTCAATCCCAGGACCCTGAGATCATGTCCTGAGCCGAAAGCAGAGGCTTAACCTACTGAGGCACCCAGGCGTCCCAAGATTTTTAATGAGCAATAAAAACATGACCTTATCAAGTCACCATTCCATCTGAGGTCATCTGGTAGTTAAATCTCTTAGGATAGTCATGACACAATCAAGGAAAGAGGACACATGAATAGAGATATTACAATTGAAAATAGCCAATTTCTCTGCACAGAATCTATAATTACCCAATCTCTATATTGTGCACATGAAACTAATATAACATTGTATATCAACTATACTTTGAGAATAATTTTTAAAAATAAAATTAAATTTAAAATACCCAGTTCAGGGGTGCCTGGGTGGCTCAGTGGGTTGGGGCCTCTGCCTTCAGCTCGGGTCGAGATCCCGGGGTCCTGGGATCGAGCCCCGAGTTGGGCTCTCTGCTCCGTGGCGAGCCTGCTTCCTCCTCTCTCTCTCTGCCTGCCTCTCTGCCTACTTGTGATCTCTGTCTGTCAAATAAATAAATAAAACCTTAAATAAATAAATAAATAAAATAAAATACCCAGTTTAACTCTAGCATCTGACACTATTAAAATACAGGAAGAAAAAGAATACGTTAACCTCTATCAACACACCAATAAGCTGTTTCAAAATAGCTATTTGGAGTACAGATCTAGACAAAGCGTAGTGAGCCTGAAAACCTCCAATTTGAGAAAATGGCTAACCTTTGGCAGGAATGCAGGGATTATGCCGTAACCTTAGCAAGGCAGGCTGGAGAGCTGGTTCTTGAAGCTATAAACAATGAAATGAATGTTATGGTTAAAAATTTTCAATTGATTTGCTAACTGAAACTGACCAAAAAGTAGAAAAAAGTAATGCCTATCGGTTTTTTATCAAATTCCCTATTTAATTACATAGCCACTGGCTTATATTCAGTTTCTCATTAATCCTCAATAGACTTTGGCTTATCAGCCTCAAAAAGGAAGTTGTTCTGATTTGATATATTGAAAAATATTAATTTACAGCTTAGCTTTGTCCCTTGGCACATGACAGATTATTAAGTCTCATTATACTCTCATGCGAGCCTTGTATTTGATGACATGAAAAGTGAATCCAAATTTTTTCAAGTTAGGGTATTATTTTATTGTGTATATTATATATATATATATGATACAGAAATTTGACTATTGTAATTACTGATATGTACTGCTAGTCAAGTGTAGTAAAAATATTTCATGCTGTTAAAAAAATTCGCTATTTACAGCAAAGGTCCTGGAAAAAGCGACACGAAGATGATCTTCACCAACGAGAAGATGGTGCTCCACTGCTCCTGAGAACACACCTTGAGAGGGAGATGAAGGATGGGGTCCAGGGTCCTCAGCTAAAGGCTGCGGCCACACAGGTCTCTGCCGGGAGGAAAGAAGTGAGTCACAGCGGCGGCTACGCAGAGCCCACACCGTCGCCCGCCGGGGGAATGGGGGCTTCGAAGAAACGCTACGCTTTCCCCATCCCGAGGCAACACCCCGGAACCACAGCTAGCACGAGAGGGGGACCAGGCGGGAGATCGCGGACACCTCCGCTCACAGAAGCCGCAGCGGCGCCACAACGCAAAACTGGGGTACCGGGGGAGACATTTTGGGTGCACCGGCAAAACTCGTCCCCAGGGCAGGGGTCGTCCTGGCAACAAGGAGGGTGGTGTGTGCCAGTGTAAATAACCCGATCGGGCAACAGGTACACGCCCTCGGTTCCGCAGGAGCCCCTCTCCCTGACCGAGTCCCAGCGGACAAAAAGCCGTCCTTGCATAGCCGCGGGCTTGCATCGTCCGCACCCAAGGACCGCGGGCCACCGGCAGCATCTCGCCGAAAGGGGCCGGGCGGCTGGGAGCTGGCGACCGAGCGATGCCTGCCCTCGGCCTCTGGGGAGGGGGGAGAAAGGGTGGACAGAGAGCCCCGTGCTGGCCTTGAAAGGGGCTCCTCTCGTGCTACCCTTGCGGACGCAGGACGCAGGACCCTCCCGCCCAGTGCGGTCGCCGCGTCTACTCCACCCAGAGGGCCGGCGGCGGACACCACTTGCGGAGCTCCAGCAGCACGCTCGGCGGCCGCTTCTCCGCGAGCCCCGTGAGTAGCCCCTTAGAAGTGTCCCTTCCAGATCCCGGGTGGGCCTCAGCTCCTCAACGCCACTGGGGCTCAGCACAGCCTGGAAGCACACTGTTCTCTCCCTTAGAAGCTAACGCCACCCGGTCTTGCACGGCGGCGCCGTTCGGCTGGGGCGGGGGCGGGGCGGTGTGGAGGGCGGGGGAAGACGGGGTGCTGGAGGACACGGTGGGTCCTTGTAAGCCGGCCGAGGGCACTTGGGGAAACTTCAGATGGCCATGGCCTCCTGATGGTGGCTCAGGCACGCGGGTGCGTGAAAGCAGCCCACCCCATGCACTGACCGCACGGCGCACACAAAACAGATACACAGAGAGTGAATTCATAACTTTATTGAAAAGACAACAAGTGCCCCCAGATAGAGGGTCCGTGACTTTGCACTTCTCTCGAATACATTTAGCGGGCATTTAGTGAACTGCTCTTTCGGGTGAGCTCCACAGAACGGGAATCGGCTGCAAATGTTGCCCCGTGGGAAAAAACGGTCACAGAGGCCATTGCGTGGGAAAAGAGCTTACAAGAAAACCATGGACGGGGGATACCCGGGAGCGACCACGGGAGGGCAGCCGCAAGGCGGGTAAGGCGGAGGACGCCAGGGCGGAGGAGGCAAGAAGACAACAGGAAAGGGTGGCATGGGCGGCGGGGGGGGCCCCAGCAGCACTGGCTCGCGAAGAACCCACATGTATTCCGGCTCCTGAATGAGGATGGCACGGCAGGGTCCACCCACGTTAACGACGACGGGGGGGGGCATGGCCACGGGGGGCATGTTTCTGAACCTCAGTGCCCTCTGATGTCTCCTCCACTTGGCCCTCCTATTCTTAAACCAAACCTTCAATCAGAGAGAAAGAGGGATCGTTTTAGTACATTGAGCATTGAACGTCATCCATGAAAAAACACAGCGGGCTACTCTCTCTGCCCTTAAGCTTTGCAACTGCATGGGGGAAGCTATTTCCTCCTTCCTAAAACAGCTTAGGCAAGGTAGGGCCATGGGCCCCTCCCCTGCAGCTCCCCCCGACAGGGCACCCACCATGTGCCAGGCTCTGGCTCAGCTCCCTGCTTTGACTGGCCTACCAGCTTGCATGTGACTTCTCCCCATTCTCAGCAGCAGGTGCAGCTGAGGAACTGCTCTCTGTCCCTGCTGTGACTTTTACCCCTGGGATGCCTGTGTCCTCCCAGCCGACCGACAGCTGTGCGGTGGCCGCTACTCCCTAGTGACTAGGCAGGTGTCCCCCTGCTTCTGGGGGAAGCTCAGATCGTTCAAAGGCCCTGCTGAGGGGAACAACCCCCATTTTGAAAAGCCCATCTTCAACACAGACTAAGCAAATAATCCAGAGGAACGTGCTGGGTCTTGCAACAACAGCTTTCCTTTAAGGATGACAGAAGGGTCATTCCTCTTCTGAAACCTCTTCCCAGTGAAAAAGAGGGCATTGTGAGCGAGGCTTTGGGCATGGAGGGCCCAAGAGCCTGTGGCTGGTCTTGCTGGGACAGAAGGAAGCTGGACACTATCTGAATATTATAGATGTTGGGGACAATGCCTGTTTACATGAACTAGGACCAGAGTGATGAAATTCTTATATCCTTGCCCAGCCAGCAGCCTGGGGGCAGAGAGGCATGCCGCCCTCACTGTGCCCCATTCGGCCTCATGCACCTGCCCCACCCTCCAGGCTTTCCTGGGCTCAGCAGCCTGTCAGCTCCCTCTGCTCTGGTTGCGCTTCCAGCACCCTGGACAGGACCCCTGCTCTCTTGCTCTAGCTCTCTCAATCAATCAATCAATCAATAAAATCTTAAAAAAAAAAAAAGGAAATTCAAAGCGCTGTAGAGTTTGGAAACAGAGGAGAACATTATGTGTTTTTCCTCACTTGCGTCTTGTGACTCCTTTTCCCTTCAGACCCGACTGAGAGAGCAGGGTGCCAGCCCAAGCTGGGGAACATCAGCTCACCCAAACTTAAGGGTACCTGTTCCTCTGAGCTTGCTTTGCCTGCTCCACAGAGCAGAGAGGCCTGGGCGTCTCCAGGTCTGGGCACAGCTGACTGGGAGCCCAGCCGCTGGTCCCAGGGGCCTGCTTTGTAGGGTGCCTGTGTGACCTCCCTACCTCTGGTCCGCAGCCCCTCTCCATCACAGATTACGCTCTGTGCGGGCAGCAAAGCAAATGCACCCACTCTGACTTTTCTATTCCATTTTCCCCTTCTTACTTCTCTCTTTTCCCCCCAAATTATCCTTTGATTCCACTCAGGCGAGAGATGGCCTCAATCACCCCCTGATCCATGGACCCACAAAGTAGCCATCACCCACTGAGCCAATGAAAAAGTCTTTCCAATCAGCACATGCCAGAATCCAGCCTAAGGGCTAGTCCCCACTAGTGACAAATGCCACACAATCTCTTCGTAAAAGGACCACAAAAGAAGACCAAGATCTCAGGTGTCAGACATTCCTCTCCGGAATGTCCACTAACCTGCTTGGTGGTTTCAGAAATTAGAATGTGAGTCCTATCCCGAAGGCATCATCCTCGTCTGCCGCTTCCCCCTGTGCTCCCATCCCACGGCAGCCACCTGGCTGGACAGGCCTCCACCTTTGCTAGCTTGGTGGGACCTTGCTGGAAAGTGTTGTTTCTGTCTATTTGCTCTATGAGACCGATTTCAAAGGTGGCACCTCCCCCCTCCCATGTCCACCATAATACACCATCTACTATTTAAGAAGGTTTTCAGGCTGACGGATCTTTCCTCTCTCAGGCTGAAGGAGTTCCAGAAAATGAAGACGTAGGCCCGCCACTCTCCACACCTGTTTGCCAAATACTTAAAAGCAACAGCTCTAAAAATAAATTAATGAAATTTAAGATTTTTTAAGTAAAACAAAATATTTTCTTCAGTTGAAAAGTGAAATTGCCTTCGTCTGAATCCTAGAGCAAAAAATCGTATTATATTGGGGCGCCTGAGTGGTTCACTGGGTTCAGCGTCTGCCTTCAGCTTGGGTCAAGATCCTAGAGTCCCAGGATCCAGCCCCATGAGGGGCAGCTCCCTGTTCAGCAGGAAGCCTGCTTCTCCCTCTGCCCCTCCAGGCTGGTGGGCTTGGGTTAGCCCGGTGGTGTGCTCACTCACTCTCTCAAATAAATAAAACCTTTAAACAACAGCAAAAAAGTAATCATATATATTAAAAAAAAAAAACAAAAACAAAACAGCAACAGACCTAGACACTTGCACTAAAAACAGTTAAGAGTAAAAAGAAATGTCTGAACTTTTAAAATTAAAAAAAAATGTATACTGACAGAATAAAATTGTTTTGGTCTGAATCCTAGAGAAATAAAATCATAATATTAAGAGGGAAAAGCATAGCAGGAGCCCCAGGCGGTTGTACTTGACGCCCTACCCTCCGCCTAAGTCTCAGCTTCACTGGACAGAAGGTAGTTGCTTATCTGCTGTGTCATATGTGTGAAATCTTCCCTCAAGCCTACGCCAAAATATTTGTAAATTCGCTCCTTATGCAACGAGATTATGCTTGTTTTCAAAAAATTAGTGTAATTCAGCTCCTTAGTGCATTAATTTGAATGATTTCCACTTCAGACTCCCTCCCGACGTGACCCGATGATGAAGAGGGGCCCGCATGATAACCCTCTCAGGAGTGGAACTGTACGTGAGTAGGTGCGCTTGCGGCTATCCTTTTCTTTCGATGTGTATAAAATGTCTATGTTTCTGGAGCTATTATTATAAAATAACATTCCATATTATATATATAAACATATATATATTACAAAATAAAACCCATTATAAAATGGGGTACAGATAAATGTATTATATATATAATATCTACAAGTCACATGAGTAATTATACAGGAATATATATGAATTACATAAATATACCCTTATACTATAATACTTAAATAATACATGATGATGCTGTTGTAGGAAACCATTACTATATATATACTATATATTACTATATAATGATATTTCTGTATCAACATATGACCATACCAATCAAGAACTAGTATCACTTAATAATAAATATTAATTGTAATTGACACAATAAAGAACACTCTACTGGCTCTAGTATATGGCAATTACATACTACATAAGACTATAATAATAGTATCATGGATAATACTTATATTAATTATCTGTGAATTATATAAATATATTTTGTATTAGCTACAACAATTAGGTCACACTGATATATATGTGTATGTATGTATATATATATATATATGTAAGTACTCATCTGTTACTGAAAATACTTAAAAAAATAGACTTCTGATATTCTGCATATTCCTTGTATATACGTTCAACATATCAAATATATCTTCTGTCTTAGGTAAAGATATACGCATCTATTCTATGAACTAATGTACTTCATCCAGTATACAATTGATATGCATACTTACTCCATTCGATGTATTTCTATCTTACATATTGGTATTAGATATAAGTACGTAGGTAGGTTTGTATATAGATAACTATTACCTATAAAGATAGTGCGTATACTATATATATGCTCTGTAATTCTGGTTACATTTCTACTTACACTATATTTAAAAATTTATATAAATACAAGTATTCTATGTCTAATTCAGTGACATCTAAAAGTATATATACGTACAGTTTATACAAACATATATGTGTATTTTATACAAGGGATACTATACTATACTGATTTTTCCATTCCTTTAGGAAATCGCATTCCCTCTGGAAATGGGCAATTTCCCTAGCCTGGGCTTTCTTTCTCCCATTCCCCCTCACCCCCACCGAGACCCAGAAGTTCAACACTTATTTCCCAAAACTAGCAAAGGCAACAAGACCCGGGAAGGTGAAAAGGTCTAGGACAGAGGTGCCCAAGTCCTGAAGCCTGTTGTAGAACCGCTCCCAGCCAAATGGTTTTTTTCTGGTTTACTGACCTGCACTCTGGCTTCAGGCACATTCATGAATCTTGCAAGCTCCTGGCTGAGGGGAGAAAATCCCAAGTACTCAGGATTGGGAGTTGGGGGTGAGTTAAAATAGAGGATTTTTCCTTCCTCTTCCTAAAATTTTTCCTCAGGGAGGCGTCGGTGACATCTGATGGACCAATCTCTACATTAGAAAAAGTCACACCATTTCGGGATTTACAGTGAGATTCAGGTGACCAAGAATGGAAGGAAAGCCAGGGCTCCCGGCTGAAGGAGGCAAAGTCCCCAAGAGCACGGGAAATTCTAATTCAGTTTCTTCTGGTGTTACCAATTACAAAATGAAGAGGATCTCTCTCTACAGACTTCCGATCTTTGCTCTTACCCATTTTATGGATTAACTTAGAGCCCTCTCATAAGGTGCTGTCCCTCCATCTCTCTCTCTCTCTCTCTCTCTCTCTCTCTCCCCGACCCCACTCCCATTTCTCTCTCTGTGATGATCAAGTTCGAGTACATTCCCACTGGGTGCTAAGAGACGGCACCAACTGCTGTTCATTCCTTGGTGGTGTTATTTTCAAGTTTTGGTGCACACTGACGTCCCCCGTCCTCCCCCCGCAACCCACCCCCCCACCGGCGGACGCCACGCCCCCACCACTCTTCTGGACCCTCTAGGTTGAGCTTTCCCGCAAGCAACATTTTTCCCCCCCGCAAGCAACATTTAATTGTCCTTTTTTTAACTTCAGATTTTCAGATTTTCATTTTAAATAATCTCTACGACCGGCGTGGGGCTGGAATTTAAGACCCCAAAGTCAAGAGTTGCAGGCTCGACCGACCGAGCCAACCTTTTCTTTTGTTTTTCTTTCGTTTTGCTTTAACTTTTAAGGTTTTTCAAGACCTCTAGCAAAATCTAAGGGAAGGCAGAACATTCAGGAATCCAGACAGTTTCCGACTGTAGTCTTAAAAATGTAAAAATGGGGGCAGGGGCCTCACGGTGGGTGTAGAGATTCCTTAAAATGAACAATTTGTACAAAAGTGATGACGAGCAGGTTTCTGACGACGTTAAAGAGAGGTCGGCTCGTAAGCCCTTCGCTCCCTCGTCTCAGACCTGCGGCCCTCGTCCCCGCCAGCCTGCTTCCAGCAGGACCTTCCTCTACTAAGGGCGGCGGACACTTTGCGGGCCGGACGCGTTCAAATGGGCGTGAACGTCCGCCTTCAGCCCCCGCCCCCGCCCGCGTGCCCGGCAGCCTGGAGGCCGCTGGCCTTTGCGTCCGCGGCGAGGACCCACACGCTGAGAGTCTGCCCGCGCCCGCCAGGGCCGCCCCGCCCCACCGGCCGCCCCCCTCCCCCCGGGGCCCGCGCCTCCCCCGGGGCCCGCGCCTCCCGGGGCCCGCGCCCAGGGCCGCAGTCCGCTTACCGCATCAGCGCGTTGGGATACTGGGTGCGCTGGAACAAGCTCTCCAGCTCCCGCAGCTGCAGCCGGCTGAACTGGACGCCATGGGCCGCCGGTGCCCGGCCTGGGGCGGCGGCCTGGGGCGGCGGCCCCTCCGGCGGCGGCGGCCCCTCCGGCAGCGGCGGCCCCTCGGCCCCCTGTGGCCCCTCCGGCTCGGGCTGGCCCTCCTGCCCCTCCTGCTTCTCCGGCTCTGGCTGCCCTGGCGCAGGCGGTGGAAATTCTGCGGCCTCGCGGCCATCCGCCGGCTTGTCGACGCCGTCGCCATCACTGTCGCCGTCGCCATCGCTGTCGCCGACGCCATCGCTGTCGCCGACGCCATCGCTGTCACTGACGCCATCGCTGTCCGCCTCCTCCTGGACTTCAGCGGCTCCAGGGCCCCGCTCAGGTGCGAACTCGGGCCCCGCTTCCGCTGCCACTCCCTCTCCGGCGTCTCCGGGAGCCTCGGGGTCTCCGGGCTCTCCGGTTAGTGACATCGCCTCAGGCTGGGTTTCTGCAAAGGACGAGATCCACACAGAAAGATCAGGGCGTCGGAGCCCGGGGCTGTGGGAAGGAGGGGGTGAGGGACAGCCTCTGCGGGGTGACCGGACCGCTCCCCTCGCCCGGGGACCTTGGTCTCTGGGGCTCGACGCCGGCGCCTGTCCCAATGGGCACGGACCTTGTGGCACTTCCCGCTCCTCGTCGACGCCCAGGCTGAGGAAGCCGGTGCCCTTGTCCTGGTCTGGGCCCGGAGGCTCCATATCCCTGTTGCCGTTTGGCACAGATTCCCCATCAGACCCTGCGAGATCCATGGGTGACGCAGAGAGCGGTGGCCTGCCAACGGGCTTCCGCCAAACGGTCAGGCGTTGTCAGGTTCCGGGAAGTCTGAGTAGCCGCCCTCCCTATATATACCCCCCACCCCCGGCTGCGGGGGGGTGGGGGGTGGGGGTGGGGCTCGCCGAGGTGCGCATGCGGCTCGGGCTCGGGCCCCAAGCTTGCCTGTGCACTTGCGAGGGTACTCCCGGAGGGAGCACTTGGCCTAGGGCATCCGAGCCGTCGCGGCCTAGCTAGAGAGGCTGAGTCTTCCAGTCGGCGCTGGGCTCACACGCCCCAGACTGGTGGCCTGTGCCCCCCAGGGAAAGTCGCCGCGCTGGACCGTGCCAGCCCGTGTGGGCAGGGGAAGACGCAGAGCCCACCCTAGCTCTGGAGACCCCGCCGAGGGCTTGGGAGAAGGTCTCTGGCCAGCCCTGCGAATCCAGCAGCCGCTACTAGGCAGGGAATAGTCATCCGAGGACTGTGATGGGCTCTGAGGTGGCACCGTCTGAGGCTTTTCGGGGAGGCGGCCCAAGTCAGAGCCCGCCACACCCCCGGGTCCCCGGGAACGGGAGCTGGTGCTGGGGTCTCCCGAGCGTGTCTGGTGCCCAGATGCACCGTGCGGATGAAACCACGCTTGCCCCTTCACAGGGGGCTGGGCCTCTGGGATTTTAGTCCCGAAGCCACACTTCAGGTCGGGCTGCGAACCTGCATGGGGCTTAGCGCTTTCCAAGTCGGCTCAAACTGGGCAGCCCTCCCACGGGTTGGGGTTTTGTTCAGTTTTCCTCGTTCAAACGTTGCTCTTCTCATCGCCACCATGGATGCCCAAACCCCTTCGAGCTCAGCGTCTATACCTCCGCCTCGAGACTCTCTCTACAAGCATGCATGTTCTTTATGGTGGGACCCTTTGGATCTGGGTCATTACCCACTTTCTGGCCTTTGCCCCCCCGCCCCCCCCCCCCCCACACAGACACTCTCCTCCCCTGGGTTTTCCAAGAAATATCTTCCTGAGCCCTTGCTGAGGAATAGATGAATTTTATTTCTTGCTTTTTGTTTTTCTTTTCCGTTCTTGTTTTTGTTTCTTCTAGCGAGGATACATCCTTATTGGTTGGAGAGTTGAGTTGAGCAAGTTTTTGGTTTCTCCAGGTGAGTCCAATAAAGGGACAGGGCCCAGAGGTTTGGGGGATGGAAGGAATCGATGATAGTGACTATACAGTTTGTCCCAATTCAGTAAATGCCAGGTGTCCTGCATTCTTTCAGAAGTGAATTTTACATCCAAAGAAGAAAACCCTAAGCAAATACTGAGCTCAGCATGATGGTAGGCATGATTTTTTTCTTTTTTTTCAAATGAAAGAGAGCAGGCCCGATTGAGGGCTCTGTGGTTTTCCCTTCTGGAACTGTTTTATAGATGCTCCAACACCTGTTACTATCCTAACTATTGGAAATAGCTCCTAGGCCCGGGTCCTGTGCCGGACAATGTCCGTGAAGGACCCCACGATCACCGCACAGCCGAGCTCACCACTCTAGTTGAAATCCGAAGCTACAGCATTCCCACGGGCTCCCGAGGGCATCGTGGGCCCAAGGTACCTCAGCCACCGCGCCTGAGGGGGAGAAGTGGCCCTGCCTCGTGGTCCTGGAGGATGGCTCAGACACCCACCGCAGGTTTGGGGACCAGTCCCTTTTCACAGGGGTGGTAAGGGATGGAGACTGCACTACCCCCTCCTGACTCGAACCAGATGTCTCCTCCTGGGCTTTGGTCTTGTTGAGTGCCGCCGGCCTCCGACCGGCAGCCCCTGGCCAGGTAGCCCGGGCACAATTTTGACCCGAGGCTACTTATTGTGTGAGAGACCTCAAGGGCTTCCGTCCTATGCCTGTTGGCCTCCCTGCGGTCTCCGCGTGCCCTTTCCTGCCTCCGTCTCCACGGAGCGGTCCTGTCTGCTGCCCTTCAGTCTCTCGTGGGACCCTCGGCCTCTCTCGCCCTACCTGGGCATCAGGTGTGCTAGCATTTACTTACGCCGTTTCCTTCCATCACTTCACCCTTGGCACACCTTAGGAAGCAAATGAAACCTCGTCCTTAGCGAAAATAGCCCCGAGTCACGGTTCCTTGGGCCCCGCTCATCGGAGGGGGGCTCTGGAGCCAGAGGGATGCCGGCGGCCTCCGGCTCGCTCATCCCTTGCGAGCTGGCGGGGCTGCCGATCTGCTTGGTCTCACTCTGCCCTGGTTTCCTCGTCTGTAAGAGGAGAGCAACGACCTCGGCAGCGTGCTGCCGGAGTGACTGAGGTGACACACAGGAACTATGGCCGATGGCCCTGCCCTCCCCGATCTGGACTGCAGCCCGTCTTGTGTTCCTTTGCTCACAGGCGCCGTGAGAGCAGAGAGCCGCTGGTTCGTCGCCGGCGGTCGGCAACGAGGACAGATCGTGATCTTGGGACCTAAGGTCTCTAACCTTACCTGTCCCGTGGGGCTCTGTTTCGGTTTCTTGTTTTCTTGTTTTCTTTTTCTTAAGGAATCTGTCTACCCAGTGTGGGGCTGGGACCCCTGACTCCAAGATCAAGAGCCACGGGCTCCCCCACCTGAGACAGCCAGGCTTCCCCCACCGTGTCCCTTGGTACCTACACGGGCTTCAGGCAGTAAACCTGTGTTGGCCGCTGTGTTTCCAGGGCCCTCTGCCAGGCAGTGCGGGGAAGGAGTCCGGTCCAGACCCAGCCGTCCTGACGCCCTGGTTCTCCCAGCCCAAGAGAGAGACAGAAGCTGGAAGTGATGGAGTCCCAGCAGCACTAACGCGCTCTGCGACCCAGGTAAATCAGCTGACCTGTCTGGGCCTCCCAGGCCCCCTCTGCGAGATGGGGATCACGATGGCCCCTGCTCTCCCGAGGGGAGCTGTGGCTCTTACTCGAGGTGATGCAAGTAAGGCCTAGGGGGAGGGCTCGGTCCGCTGGAGCCCACGCTGGAGTGAAGGGGCGAGGCCTGAGAGGGGTCAGACTGGACGTGGGCCCTGCCTGTGGTCAAAGGAGCCGGACAGGGCATCTCAGCCGGGCTCCCGAGCGGAGCTTCGGACCTGTGCTTGCTCGTGCTGGTGACTTCCCGGGAGTGCTCCCTGTGCACTGCAGCCTGGCTCATGGGCGTTACCGCTGTCCCGTGAGGAGGGCTGGGCGCTGGGTGCCGGGGGTGGTAGAAGCATCGCGGGTTTTTCCTTTTGGCCTTAACCAAGGCAGTGCTGGCTGAGAGAGGTTCGGTGACTTTGGCAAGGTGACACAGCTTGGTGGAGGGGGCCCAGGAGCCAAACCTCTGCAGCGACTGGTCCTAGCAGCCCCTGGTCCAAGCCGATTTGGCTTCTGGCGAGTCGTGGGGCTTCCCTTCCACCTCAGAGGCCGTCAGAGTCCGGTCCGTGGCAAGCAGGCTGTGCCTTGAGCTTCGGGACAAGGGGGTAGTGTGAGCAGCCCCAGCAGGGAGGAGAGGAGACGTCTGAACTTGTCTCGGGGCACCCGGACACGGCCGGAGGGCTCTGGAGTGTGAGCTGGAGAGGAAGCTAGGGAGAAGTCTGCAGGGAACTCTGTACTGCGGGGCCAAAAGGTTGCAACGTCAGGTGGGGCCCGAGTTCGAGGAGGGCGTTGGAATGTGTACCTTTGGGATGATGGAAGCTGACAGTGGTTGGGCAGGGGGGCGCCCTGACGAAAGCGCGGTTGTAGGATGAGTTTCCGGGGGCGGGGGGAGCCTCCGCTGGCTCCCGGTTCCGTTCATTGTAGTTAGTGGGGGTGGGGATCAAGGTCCGGAGCCAGAGCCCTTACTTGGAGGCCACCGGTGTCCACGAGGTACGTCGGGAGTTCCCTGGATTTGGAGTGGAAAATTCCGTGTGTGGTGGCATTGCAGTGATGTGTACCTTTCATCAGCTAGAGGGGGGACAGTGCCCCTAACCACCCCCCCCACCTCAGGAAACATCAGAGGAAGGACCAGGGGCTTGAGTAGAGTAAGCGGCTGTGGACTTGGGGCACACGCTTCTGGTTTCAGGGCGCAGCCTCGTTCGTCTTCTTTCCGGCTCTCTCTCTGCTCACTGCATGGCAGGGGCAAGGCTGACTGTCCCTGTGCCTCCGTTTCCCCAATGGGAAATAGGGCAACGATCCCTGTCACTACCACTGCCACTAGAATAATGACAATCCTCCCACGGACTTCTTATGAAGTCAGAATGAAGTATGGAAAGATGGCTGCCTTTTCTCTCTCCTTCCTCCCTCTCTCTCTTTCAGCCCTCCCTCTCTCTTTTCCTCCCCCATCACTTTATCTCTTCTTCCCTTCTTTCTTCCTTCCCTCCCTACCTCTCTCCCTCATCTCCCCTTCCTGTTCCCTCCTTCCTCCTTCTCTCCCTCCTCCCTCCCTCTCTGTGCCTTCTCCCTCTCTTTCCCTACCTCCTTCCTTCTTCCGTCTTCCCACTACCTCCTCTTATTCCATCCCTCTTTGTCTCCTTCTTACCCTCCCTGCCTTTCCTCCCTCCTCCCTCCTCCTTCTCACCCTTCCTTTTGCCTCTTCCCTTCTCTCCCTCCTCCCTCCATTCCTCTGTTTCTTTTTTCTTCCCTATCATGTGTGTTTGTGCACATGTGTATTTAAGTGTGTCAGTCTGTGTCTTTGTACCATGAACAAGCTTCAAAGATATAAGCAAGTCATCGAAAAAAAGATAATACATGATTTGAAATCACATATCATCTAGAACAAGGGAAATGCCATACCTAAGTAACAAAGCAATATGTGGGAGTTCAGTAAAGGTAGAATTTATATTCAGTACAATTCTGGAAACATAGTCTAAAGAGGTAGACTTTAAGATTACTCTTGAAGCATGGATAGAAGTTCTTACTGGCCTTCCTCAGATAAACTCTTCCTCCTCAATAACAAAAGTAACATATCATGGAGTGCATGGCTGGCTCAGTCAGTAGAACCTGGGGCTCTTTTTTTTTTTTAAGGATTTTATTTATTTATTTAGAGAGCAAGAGGAAGAGAGTGAGCACAAGC